TCCGGGAAAACCCATCGGGTTTATCCTCCAAAATCATTTGTTGAATTGGGGGTTTTCGTGCAAGATCGTGCGAGAAGGAATTGTTCATGTGAAAAATCCCTTGGAGTGTTTGAAATCTTTTCAAGGAACCTTAGAGTGGTTGAAATATTTTTAAGGAAGTAGCAACAATTGGATAATAGAATCGGTGATCTTGTGTTGATAGTGTGTAATCGGATTTACTCAAGTGAAATCCCTTTGAGTGTTTGAAATCTTTGCAAGAAACTTTGGAGTGTTTGAAATCATTTTAAGGAAGTAACTTAAGCGGCGAATAGGTTGTATATGTTGGTCTTGGTCTTGTTGAAGAGCAAAAGAAGAGAATGGGTTGAATCAACATCAAACGGTTAGGGGTTGTAGGATTTCTCCTAAACACTTCCCTTGTAACCATACTTTTGCAAAGTAAGAAATTATCCTAATTCCAAATTTTTAATTGGGAGATATGTAGCCATAGCGAGGACGATTGGTGAACTTCCTAAACAAATCCTTATGACTCTTATCTTTTATTGCTTTACTTGCCTTAATCTTCATACATTATTTTGTCAAATAACATTGAGTAATTTATCAACAAGTAGGAATTTTCCGACACTGTTTTTGTTTTGAATGTGTGTTGAGTTGGTTATAATCACTTTTGATTATAAGGGTTTTTTCATATCAAGACAACACAAAGCAAAATTCTGAAACTTTGATTGCACGTCAAGTGTTTGACAAATTGTTTAGCTTGTTTAACTCAAAGGAAAATTGCATTTTTCTATCTCCTACTTTCATTCACTCTCTATATGCAATGTGTTGAATGTGTTATTTGATCGATTGATTCGTATAGAATTTCTCTTTGATTATTAAGGTTTAAATTAATTTGTTAATTAACTTATAATCACTTTGATTGTAAGTGTTTTTTCATATCAACAAATCTCAAAGAAAATTCTAAAAAAATTGATTGTGCGTCACATGTTCAATAAATTATCATATTATGTTTTTAATATGATTTCATTAAAAATAGGAAATCATTGTGTTAGATATTAAACGATTAATTGAGGTATTATTATGTTGATTGATTTTATCATTATGATTAATTCCATATAGCTCGTGCATATATGAGTTTTCAATAACTAGATTCGTTTAGACTACTATATTGATCTAGGCCAAAATCCTTCCGCTCAACATTGTTTTTTAAATAAGTTTTTAAATAATCATTTTGAAAGGTTATTTTTATTTCCGGATCTATTCACGCCCCCTCTAGGTCTGGTGTTGTAGTCTAACACACCAAAACAAGTACAACAACAAATACAAACTACATCAGAAACATCAAAACTATAACAACAACAAACACTAACTTCGTTAGCAACATCAAAACAAATACAACAACAAACATAAATTTCACCAGAAACATCAAAAATATAAAAACAATAAACACAAACTTCATCAGAAACGGGAAAACATTAAAAACAACAAACACGAAATTTATCATAAATTTTTTCAGAACAAAGACACAATAATAAAGTCATACTCATACATAAATTTTGAAACTTTTTTCCATTATATCAATAACCAAAATGCCAGAAAATCAACAAATACATGAAGCAAAAAAGAATACAATACTTTATATATATATATATATATATATATATATATATATATATATATATATATATATATATATATATATATATATATATATATATATATATATATATATATATATATATATATATATATATATATATATATATATATATATATATATATATATATATATATATAACAAGTGCATACTTCTTTGTTTTGTACCACAAAGTCCACCTTCGTTGAAATAAAGCTTAACAAAAATCAGATGAAGACGGAGAACATGTAAGATCAGAATCAGGTTGGGGTTAATATAGAAAAAAATCACCCTAAAATCGTATGAATAGTTGAAGAAGATGGAAGCTGCAAAACATGAAGATGGAGCGGGAGAGAGAGAATCGTTGTGAGATAAAAGACAACTTTTGGCTTTTAGAGAGAATTTTAGATGTCTGAAATCTGCATTGATAAAAGAGAAAAGGTTAAAGAATTTGAAAAGCAAAGTTTATTTTCAACCAATGAATGCAAACCGAGTTGCATCAGAATAAAAATTGAAACAACATAGCAATTGATAAAAGTTTTTTTCACGCTCTCTTTTTCTTTCTCTCCATAAGCACCCTTTTTCTTTCTCTCTGAAGTTTTAATCACGTATAACAATTTTTTATTCATCTGGGTTGTCGTGATTGCTCGGTGTTGGTGATTTAGGGTTGCAATTTAAAAAGCCCCAATTTAAATTTTTGTATTATTGATTCGTTTGTGCTCAGTGTCGTGATTCGTTTTCATATCACATTCATCAACACATATTTGTGGAAGATCACAGATTTAGTGTGTTACCAAGATTGTGCATTTCGTTATTTCTTTTTGAATCTTGACGAGCTGCGATGAGAGCGCCAGCGCCGGAGAATTCTCAGACAAATGCTAGCTCGATGTAGGCAAGTAATTGGAAATGTTCAGCTTTTTGGTTTATGATAATTGGTGCTTAATTTTAGTGTTCGATGTTGTTTGGAGTTGAAACTTCAATTTTGTTAATTGAATGCTTTTGGTGTACGTAATTACTACTTTCGTGGAGATTTGTTAGAACAATGTGGTTTGGTTGAGGTTGAAAAGAAAAATAAGAAGATAGTTGAGATTCTGTACAATGTTATTGATGAGAGTAATGGATTTTTTAGGTGTCATGTTGAGAAATCTATGAGGTTTAAACCCAAATGCAAGAACAACCTAGAAATATTTTTAGCGACGACTTTTTTTGTCACTATAGTTGGTCTAAACACGTGACATTCCACATCAGCACATTACAATGCCACTTGGATGATTTGTTGACTTTGATTAACAAATCCTGACGAAATGACTAACGTGGCGCTGTTTTAAAAGTTAAAGGATCAATTTGAACATTTTAAAAATTAAAGGACAAAATTGAACCCCAAGATAAAGTTAAGGGACTAAAAATGATATTTTGCCTATCATTTACTAAAATATCCTATTAATTGTAGTACGTAGTTAATAGAGTAGTTGAAAAAAATTGAAAGTTAATAAATAGGGGTATATCAATGGAATCCGTCTCATAAAAAGTGTTTCATTTAAGCAATGCGCGATTCTCTAAAAAAAATAGATACATTGATTTTAATGATAAAACTAATATCATTTACTAGAATATCCCTATTAATTGTAGTTAATAAAGTAGTCGAATAAAATGAAAGTTAATAAATAAGGGTATAGTAGTGAAAAATAATAATAAATATTATATTGGTATTGTAAAAGAATAATTATTTTGAGACAAAGAAAAAATGTAAAGGAGACACTTTTTATGAGACGAAACGAGTAATAAATGATGCATTGATATTATAAAATGACAATTATTTTGAGACAAAGAAAAAATGAAAATGATATATATATATATATATATATATATATATATATATATATATATATATATATATATATATATATATATATATATATATATATATATATATATATATATATATATATATATATATATATATATATATATATATATATATATATATCAACATTTTTTTATATTATAGATGAAGTGGAAAAAAAAAGTCAAAATGTAGAAATTAAAATAAATGGACAGGTATTTATAAAAATCAAAATGTTGAATGCAATATGTTAAGACAAACATGTTAAGCCAAAACATATTGCTTGTGCCACCTTATAAAAACCCCATCAATATAAGGTGCTATATATATAGCCAAAGACAAGCCAACAACGTTTGGGCATGAAGATATTGTGCCCCTTTATTGCAATAATTGATAAGAAGTTAGTAATAACTTGCAATATTGCATAATCTGAAAGGGCAAACTGGTCATTAGATTTATGTTTTAAGAACTGTAAATGAGATTTAAAAAATAAACTTTTATGCTATTGGACCTTTAGAAAAGGACATGATCAACCGTTGAAAGTATAGCCATTGTCTAGAACATTTTTAAATTGAAAGTATTGGACCTTAAACTAATATAAATGAACTTCACAAACATTGACAGGGAAAGAATACTCGTGCTACCAAAACTATAATATAATCCACACATTTCTTTAATTCTATTATTTTACTTTATTAAAAAATATTTTATATATATATATATATATATATATATATATATATATATATATATATATATATATATATATATATATGATTAAAAGAAACCGTAACGTAATATTTTGAAAATGCATCCCGTTTCTAACTAACCAAATAGCATTAAGAACAAAAATAATGACAGCAACCGCAACGGTCTTGCATAGGCCCGGCCCAAACTTTCTACAAAGACTCCAGATATCAGACCAATCAAGAATGGATTGTGAGAAGCTCAGACTTCATCAACCCAAGACCAAAGTAAAGATGCAAATTTATAGTTGAAAAAAAGGCAAGGAGAAGATTCTTCGACCTCCTTACATAAATCACAACGCGAAGGAAAAGTGAAATTTCTTATTTTTCATTGATTATCCGTAGAACCTTTGGTATGAAGGAGCTTCCACACAAAACATGATTTTTAGGGAGGGATTGATTTGGACCAAATCCACTTCCACCACTTCTTACGGGGACCAACCGACTTCTTAAAAGTATAACTAATTTTAGAAGAGAAATCATCGTTCGGCGAAAGATTCCAAACTCTAGAATCAGGCCGAAGGACAAGGGGAATATGGAACTCCAAAATTCTCGCTTGAAGAGGGGCCAGGATGAGGGTAATGGCTTTAGAGAAATCCCATTATCCATTAGACAATATACTGCTGACAGATTGATTCACAATGCTAGAAAGAGCCTCCACACCAAGATGTAACGAATCACCGCACCATCGATCAAACCAAAGACTAATAGACTCGTCATTACCAATATTCCAAGAGGAATTATCAACAACATTATTCATTTCCGATTTAAGGCTGGACTAGAGGGAAGAATAAATATGGTGCTTGATGATTTTACGTTTCCTCAAAACTCTGTGCCTAAGAAGTGTTGCCCAAGGCTCAGGAGAATTATGCAAATCCCAGGCAAGTTTGAGATTGTATGCTTCATTTACCTTGATGAGAGATCGGATTCTGAGACCCCCTTCATCTAAAGGATAACATATTTTCTTCCACACCACATTAATCACTTTATTCTTTGTGGTTTCCCCACTCCATATGAAACGCTTCATCGCACGCTCAATGTCACGAATGTGCGAGATCGTCCAATCATAAATAACCATACTATGAACAAACATACTAGAGACGACAGACTTTACAAGCTCCACCCTACCATAAAAAGACAATAAATATCCTCTCCAAGAAGCTAGCATATTGGTGACTTTATCGACAATAGTCCGCAAATGAACTACCTTCAGTTTGCCTTTAAAGATAGGGACATCGAGATACACAAATTGACCAAATCCTTTTTTAAAACCTGATATCTCTACCAGAATATTCAACCTAGAGGATGACATTCCACCACCAAAAATGAAAGACTTGTCGCAATTAACCATTTGCCCCGAAACTTTTGCATATTCCTCAAAAGTGGAGATGAGAATTTTTATATTAGATATTTTACCTTTGCAGAATATGAATACATCGTCAACATACAAAATGTTCGAAGGAACCGAAATGTTGTTGGGGCCCTGAATCGGACCCAGCTTCTTAGTAAAAGCAAGTTGGAGAAGCTTACGACTAAGAACCTCTTCCGCGAGGAAAAAACAAAGGGGGAGGGAAAGAGGATCCCCTTGTCGGACCCCACACGAACAAGAGAAATATCCATGAAGAGCACCATTAACATTAACAGACATATGCATAGAATGAAAAAGATTATTGATCCATAAGCAAAACTTATCGTTGAAGCCAAATTTATGGAGTACTTTCAACAAGAAATCCCAACTGAGAATATCAAACGCCTTAGTAATGTCCAATTTAAGAGTCGCGTTACCACACCACGCCTTAGAATCCAGAAGATTAAAAGCCTCAGATGCCAGCTCGATACAGCCATGAATGTGCCTCCCATGAATAAAACCGCGTTTCTCATTCGAAATAAGAAAATGCATGATTTTTGCCAAAGGGGAAATTGTGTCGTCATCCAAGGCAAAATCTTGCAAAACAGATACATTAGAGGAAAAAAGAGTTTCGAAGTACTTAACAGCATGGTCATCAATATCTTTGGAATCAGTGAGCAAAGAATCTTCATCCCTAAGTATTGAAATTGGCCTGAACTTCTACTTAATTTTAGTAACCCGATGAAAATAAGCAGTGTTGCGATCACCCTCCATATGCCACTTAGTTTTGGATTTCTCCTTCCAGAAACTAGAACTAAGTTTTGAGGAAAATTAACAAAGTCCATTTTGGGCTCCGCAATAAAAAGAAAATCTGGTTTATGTAAAGTAATGAGTCTCTTCAAGTCTAATCTGGAGGAAGAATTAGCCACACCTCTAATATTTCAAAATAAGCTCTTCATAATGACAAAAATTTTGGTCCTACTTGAGACCTTGTGGAGTGTTTTTTCTTTATTCTAACTAAATGCTTACTAGGAGTACGTAGTGCCTACATTTGATTCGTTGTGTGTACTTTCTCTTATGAAGTGCATTGGTGTAGAGGGAAAAATATATTTGTTTTGATGATAACAAATTCTTGTATAAATATAATTAAGATTTTAATCTTATTTGTCATTTGATGTGTTCTTTTAAATGAAAAAAAAAAGATAAATATGTATGAAATTTATCAACAAGTAGATGGGTGAAGCAATGATTCTTAAGTTTATTATTGAGCTCATTACAAGAAAACAAATATAAATTTGAAAGAAACACAAAATGTCAAGTGTGCCAAAAAAAATCTTTGTTGAAAGATATTTTTTCAAGAGGGAGCAAAATATGAAAAAATTCTTTATAAATTCAAACACTTCAAACTTTCATCTTAACCCTCCACGACCAATGTTACTTTCATAAAGTAATCAATGTACCTATGCATGGTTTATTTTTTACCTTATGTGATCCCACTGAGAACAATCATGATTGTGGGTTTTCTCTTTTGAACGGTGAAAGTTTTGCATAGACCGGTCCAAGAATATATGTTCTCCATCAGGAAGGTATTTGAACCAAGTCATCGTTGATCCAGTCAAAGTTAATGATAAAAGCTTGCATTTTAGGACCCTATGGTTGCGATAGCAGTCTAGAAGGTCATCTGATTGTCCGTCTGAATCTCCAGTTCCATAAAATTTTTGGATCTTCGACGACTTCTCTAGTGACCTTGTGATCCCATTATCCATGATGTGACCGGATGTGGGTTTTCTATTTCACTTGTGGATTACAACGTCTTCTTCATATCTTTCTCTCCTTTTAAGGATGACAAACTTCTAGAGGAGTATGACTACCTTTTCTCCATTCTGGGTCACGAAAAAGAGTCGTGTGTCCATGATGTCGTTCGCGGCTTGACGACTTATAGATTTCTTCTTAATGCGTTGCCTCCCAGATTGGTACCGGTTCAAGGATGAAGACTTGGTTCTTTCATGAGGACGCCTCTTGCAAGATATTGTTCCTCGATTTGGCATGTTGCATACTCTCTTCAACCTTGAATATTATTTTTGTTAAGGCTGAGAGTTCTAGTGTTACACCATGTTGTAAACATTGCTCAGCAGATCATTGAGTCCATGCACGCCAAGATTAGTTTGCAACGGTTGAAAATCGAGAAATATTTCTTGTCCAGATATTATAGGTAGTGGTGGAGGTCTAAACGAGGGTCTACCCTGGTGAAATTATGGCACAAATCCGAGGAACGAAAGAGATTAGAATACTCTGTGATTTGCCATAGGTTGGACAAGATCTTGTTCCGAAGGAACAAATAGAGATGTTACCAGGACTTGATAATCTATTATATGAGAAAGAGGTGGTGGCTCTTTAGCTGCTTCAACAACATCTTGTCGTTGAACAGTGGAGTAGGTAGTTTTGAAAGTCACTATTGTTAATGAATTTGAAAGAGATCTGTTTGAGAGGAGATTGAATTTGAAGAAAGCAATTGACAATAGAGATATATATTTCGAATGGAAGATATATAAACTTCTATTGAAGAAGAAGATTTGAACTTCTAATAGAGAAATTTAATTGTGAAAATTCATAAGAATTAGAAATCGATTCTCACAAACAGCGTCAACATTTGATAGCAGAACACTAATTACTTGGTAGTTAATTAGAGAGAGATTGATACAATGGTCTTGAACTTACTATACAATGAAAATAAGACTGTCTACAAAATTAATACTCATCTCTAAACTAAGATAGACCATCTTAATTCTTTAATCAATAATTATTTAATCTCTAACTCAACGAATCTGCAAATCAAATAGAGTAGACACACTATTTTATATTGGTACTTTAATCGTCTTTTCATTGTTTCATAAAAAGATATTAACTAATAGGTTTAGGGTTTAAAGTTTAAATTTAACATATAAAATATGTGATAAAAGAAACATGAAAGCATAGCTAAATGTGCCTATAAACGAATGATCAAAATTAATACGTGAGAGAGATGATTGTAAATCATTTTTGGATAATGTCAAAAATTATGGCTAATACCAAGTTTTCATAAATGTAGTGTGATAGATTTGTTGTCCTTTTCCAGACAAGTTTCTGGATGGAAATCTTTTGGTTAATTGCATTGATGCGTGGCACTAACCATGCCATAAAATATTGATAATGTAACACATGAGTTCTACATTTGACATGGACTTTATAATTTGATTTCTCTACTTTTTCAAGAACCTAATTAGGATGAAGGACAAAAGTTCATATTTTAAAGTCAATAAAGCTACTAATGATTTAATCTAAACAAAAAAATAAAAGAGTAACATTTTCATATCACATCCAAAATTATGATTTCTTGACCCATTTATCCTTTAAAACATTTCTCCAACTCTAAACATGCATAAATTTTTAATTCTTTTTTAAAAATATTTTTGTCGTCGACTGTGATTCGCCTCACTCGAGTGATTATTCTTTAAAATTGTCCACAAAAAATCTTCAATTTATAAAAATATATAAATTACATAATCAATTAAATAGTTGAGCTTAAATAGTTAGAAACCAACGGTTGTATAAGACAAAAAAAATATATAAATTTCATTAATTAAAATAAGACTCGGTTGTCAAAAAAAAATAAGACTTGTTAAAATAAATGACACATGTAATATTAAAAAAAATTTAATACACTTTAATTCTCTTATTTTATATTTTTTTAAATTTTAATTTTTTTTCATTTTAAAACCCAACATTTTTTCCATTTTAAAAAAACCAATCTTTTAGTTTTCATATTTAATAATTCGTGAAATTTTAATGACCCCTCAATTTTACATAGTTGATATGTTCATTTAATATGTGCAATGAAGTGTCATTGACATTGTGGTGTCAACTAAATCAAAATTGACCACTTAATTGAATTAAAAATTTAATTTTATAAAATATGAAATAATATAATTAATAATTGAAATATTGTTTTATAAAATATTTTATAAAAAATAAAATGCCGAACATGTAAATTGAACATTTTCTCTTTTTTATAACTTAACATTGAAGAACTTTAAATTCTCAGTTGTATTTATTCATAGACTATATTTCTTCTTTGACCATTATCGCTTCTCAATTATATTTGCCTCAATTGTGCTACTGAATCACATTCAAGCGAAGGTCGTACTTTCTGAATGCGTTCAAGCGAAAGTCGTATTTTCTCAATCATTTGCAAATGATGAAACCACATGCAATATGGAAGAGTAATGAAGAAGTAAAATATTGTGAAAATGATAAAGGTTTAATTCACACTAAGAAATTTGATGTGTGGGGACAAAGAACAATGGCAACCAGACAAATGACCCCCAACAATAAAAATAATAGTGGGCGAGAACACAAGAAATTTGTTTGTCTAGTTCGATCAAGTTGATCTATGTTTGGAGGGAGAACAACTTTTCAATTCACTATACTTCAAAAGTTATTACAAGAGATTTCGAATGAGTTACAAGAAAATAGACTTTCAAGTTCCCAAGAACAAACCCCTATTTTCTACCCAAGTGTTTCCCAATATCTCTAACTCTCTATATAAGAATCACGCAAATCCAAGGTGTTCAAAAGTATTTCCCAATTCCCTTAGATAACTCTAAAAAGATGTCAAATTCCTAGAATATAATTCTAAGAATTTTACCATTTGCTTTTCACTAAGATTTCTATATTATACCACTCTTTTAGATCAAATGAGAGAAAACTCATATTTATAACTAACAAAATATTAATAGGCCAAATATATGACTCATTAACAAATAGATCCACGAACAAGCCCTAAAAATTGTCAATACCGAAATATATCTCTTTTCCTTCTCTTTTCTCACTTGAGGTTTTGAGGAATATTACAATAATTCTCCACCTTGACTTTAAATTGATGGTGATGTCAATTTAACCACCAACCACCTTACTTCTCTCTCCAAAGCTTGAATCACTCTTCAACAAATTTGATCAAGTCTAAGCAATGCTTAAACCTTGACCTTGGAAATGATTTGGTGAACATATCAATTGTTGGATTCTCTTCTGAGGGCACTTTCTGAACTTTAATCTCCTTTGACTTTATCATGTCCATTATAAAGTGTAAACGAATGTCAATGTATTTTGTCCTCTCATGATAAACTTGATATTGACCAGGTGAATGGCACTTTGACTGTCACAATTTATCTTCACACATTCTTGAGTAATCCCTAAATCCCCAATCATGCCTTTCAGCCATATGACTTCCTCGACCCCTTTAACAAAGGAAATATATTCCACTTGAGTGGGAGATAATACGACCACTAATTTTCAATTTTTCTTCCAGCTTATAGTTGTCCAAAACAATGTAAACACAAAAATTGATAAGGATTTTCTAGTGTCCACATTACCTGCATAATTTGAATCTACAAAACCCTCCAAAGCATCTTCCTCTTAATTTGACATTGTGTTCTTTAAACCATCATTTAGCGAACCATTTAAATACCTCAGCACTCACTTTAAAGCTTCCAAATGAACCAGACCAAGATTTTCCGTAAACTGACTTACTATGTTGCCTGCATATGCCAAGTTTGGTCTACGATAAACCATACCATACATAATGCTTCTAACCCTACTTTCATAGGGAGTACTCTCCATTATCTTCTTCTCTTTTTTAGTTTGAGGATATTGTTTAACTGAAAGCTTCATGTGATGACCCAAAGGAGTGTTGACGATTTTAGCATCTTGCATTCTAAATTGCTCCACCACTTTCTTCGAGTAACTAGATTGAAATAAGAATAATTCACTCATCTTACGGCTTCTCATGATATCCATACCCATGATTATTTTAGTTTCATCAAGATCTTTCATCTCAAATTTACTATTCAATATCTCCTTGAACTTACTGGTCTCATTTTTGCTAGAGCTTGCCATTAGAATATCATCAATATATAGAAGGAGATAGATAATGACTTTCTCATTCCTCTTCAATATGTATACACAATTATCATAATTACTTCTTACAAAACAATGTTTAAGAAGAAATTCATCAAACCGATGATACCCCTATCTTGGGCTTTGTTTCAACCCATACAGAGATTTCTTCAGCAAACATACCTTAGAGTTATCTTCTACAAAACCTTCAGGTTGTCCATGTAGATTATATCTACAAGTTCTCCATATAAGAAAGTTGTTTTGACATTCGTCTTTTCTAACTCAAGATTATATTAATTTAGAATTTCCATAAGTACCCTTATAGAATAATGTTTTACCACAAGTAAAAAAATTCATTGTAAATAACCCCTTCAACCTGAGTGAAAATCTTCTTTACAAGTTATTCCTTAAATCTTGGTTCTTCAATTCATGGAATACCTTCCTTCTTTTTGAAAATCTACTTGCATCCAACCACCATTTTGTTTCTTAGATAGTCTCATAAGCTCTCAAGTATGGTTCTTCATCAGTGAATCCATCTCATCATTTTCTATCATCAATTATCTTGGACTATCTTTTCTTTTTAGTGTTTCCTTGAAGGTCTTTGGTTCTTAGTCGTAAAACTCTTCAACCACGTTCAAAGCATAACAAATAAGATCATCATAACCGTACCTTTGAGGTGGTACAATATCCCTCATAACTCTATCACGAGCCAACTGATAATTAAGATACATTATATGTTGCCCTTCAATAATATTGGAAACATGAGTCTCTACTACCTCCTCGTCTCTAATCTCACTACTAGGAACCTCCACCTAAAATAAAGTCTTTTCCATCA